TCGAGTCATTTTAGAGTCATCAGCAAATCGATGATAATCTAGTAAGAACAGTAAAGTAATTAGTAACGAGTTGTTCAAGACTAGCATTGCAGCCCATGCCCTAGTTAGATCCAAAATTTCAACCAATAGTGCACAATGAATGTGATGACATGCTCAGTTATGTGTTCCGACGATAAGTGAGTGTCAGACTCGAGGGTGCCAAAGGTAGCGTTGGGAGGGTTACTGAGAGACTTGAGTAAAATCTGACGAGATTAGCAAGAGTCAAAGGTATTAATTGCTAACTCTCGTAAGGATAAGGGACGGGGTAAACTAGGGCAGGAGAGAGGACGTTGCCCTTTATATCGGCTCTGTCCAATCTCAATATGTTGAGCTACGGTCATTCTAGGTTTACCCGACTTTACTCATAACATGACTCAGGTCGGAGAAGTGTTATGATGTGAAGTCACTCAGCCAATTAGACACGCTGTATTAGATGATATAGAGGTCTATACAAGATGTAGTTGGTACAGCGACATCATAACAGTTGCATGTGGATGGTGTGAACAAGAATGTAAACTATTCTATAGCAGATGATAGAATATCTTACATCACAAGATGGAATATTCTACTAGCAATTAAATAGATGAGCTTTAGGTATAAATAGGAGTATTTTCCTCCATATAGATAGCAATCATCAGGAAACGAATCTAATAAAGCAAACACATATCATCGTCCACTTCATAATAGTCTCAAGCACATATTAATAAAGCCACTGTTTGTATGCAATTCCCCTCCTCATAATCACAATAAGAAGTTCATACTGATACATGGTGTGTATCAAGGAAAATATATTTTTGTTCGGATTTTACATAACTCATACTTTGAATTGGGTTTATATTTATGTTTCCGATGATATTCTCATCTTATCTGTCCTGAGCACGGTTTAGTATGTTTCGGTGGTAGCATTATTGCCAGCGAGTTATCTAGTAGGGTTTCAAACGAGGAAAATTATGTATTTTAGATACTCGATAGCCAGAACAACTTAGGCCTCATAGTGCACACCCTCTACTACACAATCACTCAATTCGTAACCCAGTAACCATTCTGAGGCGGGTAAATATTCGCGGGCTATGTCGGGGAAGAGTACGGAGGTGCTACTCTATCCTCAGTGCCTGACCGTGAGCTTTTATATTTTCAAATTTCGAGGGGAGCTTGGCTGCGAGCGGCATGAAGCAGCCTTCATACTGATATATATCTAAAACCAACATCGAGTTAGTGCGACTAGGAACTGGGAATCTACGAGACAATTGTGCTGTTCGACCTGGTTTAACATGGCCTAATAACGCGTGGCGAGAGGCGTGTAGGTCAACGACAACTATCCGTCGTCGGCAATCGACGGATGCCACATTGACGGCCTGCACGCCAGGAAAAATGGTGGATAAATAATGCACGTGTAAAGGTACAATTTGGAAAGGTTTCGGGAAGATAACTCATAGTCCAGTACGATCCGCCGTTCAGCATAGCCCACGAAGCAGCTTGCATCGGCTTGAGTGATGAGTAATTGTGGCTGGCGAGGCAGAAATTATTGGGAAGGTAATCACTAGAGCGATTTCCGCGCGAGAATAAGTTGATGCTCGCCGAGCATATTGACTCTCTACAGTCTCCATTAGTTTTCGGCAACAATCGACATGTTCACCACAGCCGCCATCGTAGTTAAATGACTACACCCGCAGTCCCAGAGTAAACTTGCGGGAGTGCAGCTGACACTACAAACACGATGCAACGATGGAAGGCGCCGTGGCTCGCCTCTGGCTGGTGTTTTCTGGTATATTTTGAGTAGCCTCGGCGCCTACTCCACTGGGGAAGGAGACACCTAAGATTATATTTCGCGCCGAGGCTTCTCAATGCACGATTGAGGCATGTCTGCATAACTCATAGTTTTTGAGATGTTTCCCTGGCTTGACTTGGGGTGAAGACGAGCCGGCACAGCTTCGCAGTGGTACTTGCAAATGAAATCCGAGGCCTGAGTGCTCTTCTTATAAATTTAATCACCCATTATGTGCTTTTTCTTTGATATTGTGTCATAGCTACACAGCCGCATATGCAATTAAAATTCGATGCAAAAATTCCTCCCACACGCCACAGACCATTGAGCATAAAATTATCACCCAAGAACGATTCCCTAGCGTAGCAGCAAAAGTTTGAAGACTTTCCCGAAAGTAAATTCTGCAAGTTTTCCAAGCCGTCAAGCCAGGACAGCAAACCTTTCAAGTTTTATTCGATAAAAATTATGGTCAAGTAATGCCAGTCAGAGTGGTGGCAACGAGTCTCTTTAGAGTGCGTATCCTTTTTTTTTAAATCATTTAATGTGTATTCAGCTATAAAGCTATAATACATGACCGGTGCTATGTATACATATGGGATGACTCTTCTGACGTTAGAGACACTCATACTTTGGATTTCATTCGTAAGTACCACTATGAGGTATGTTCGCTCACACAAACAGTCGACCCTCCTCCGTGAGTACCCACCAATAGAACGTTTCAAAAGCTTTGGTTATCCAAGCATGCCTTCGTCATCCATGCAAGCCAGCGCCGCGAGAAATGTGATTGTGTTTTGCCGGATTTGAACCTGCGATCTACTGTCTCGAGTGGGATATGTGTCCAAGCTATCCAGACCTTACTTGGCAGACCGGCCAAGACGATGTACCACCGCACCATCCAACCATGGCTGTGTTTATAGTTTCGCCAGCACTCTTGCAACCGAAGTCTTGGCACGCACACAACGCAATTAGTAAAACCTCCTTGCCAAAATTCGAATTTTTACGCCCGGCGTGAATGTATCCATTCTCTGCATCATCTCATCATCTTGTCCTGTTCCTTCTCACTCCCATCCCAAAGAACTATCTCCCAGATTTGTGCGCCACGCTTTGCTTCCTCCGTCGGGTGTAAATATCGGCGTGGGCGTGTATTTGGTGGTCAACTGAGGCCAGAGAAAGTCGACGAGAGGTATGGTCAATGGGATGAGGATGTACTTGGTCGTACTTGTAGACTTGACGAGACTTAGGTAGGCTTCAAACTCGTTGGGAGCGAAAAAACGACGTGGTGGAGTAATTTGAATCGTTGCCCCGTAGGTAAACTTCTTTTATATTGCGTAATTTAACTGAACCTGGCTCTGGGAGAATATTTCACTCCCAGGTTCGTAGAAGACACAGCGTACAGGTGTTCAGTCTTGCCCTCCGAGTAATGCCAGTCAGGGTGGTGACAACGAGTCTTTTCGAGCACGTATGCGTGTCAAGGGTGTTGGATGTGGTGCATTAGCTAGATGCGTCAAACTATGCAGTTGCCTGGATTACATTATAGTCCCAACTGAGTCAATGACGACAGGGAACTCCTAGAAGATATAAGAGACTAGCTACATTTTTGATGTTTCAATTGTTTGGCTTTATCTCATGGTCAGCGAGGGACGAGCCCGAGTAATCTGAATTGGTGGCGTGCTGTTCAGTTGGAATCCACGCGAAGCCGAACTTCTCCCAGAGCCAAGGCCTCGACATGCGACATCACGCACCTTACCTATTGAGTAGGGTTTTATGGTGCAGTGGTACTCCGTCTGAGCAGTTCTCCAATGTAGATTCTGGGCGGCTTGAATACCTGCCCCATTTGAGATGGGGGAGCGCTGGTTCAAATCTAGTATGACCCACACACCACTCTCTCTCGCGATGATCTCATGTCTATAGGGTGATGAAAGCACACACAGACAATCATCGGCCTCTAACGCTTTTCCCTATGGTAGTGTTCAGGGTAGAGCTGCAGAGCTGGCGTATTCGCGTGTTGCTCTAGTGTAAACTATGTTAACTGTGTTATCACATGGATACAACATTGTAGTCTCCTTAGATAGAACGAGACATCAATCACATACACCGACGTTAGACCCCCTTCGATTGAATTCAATCTTTCCCACTGATACCAACAGGTAGTTACCGAAGAAGTTGCATGCCGTAGGAATTTACCTCGGGTGGTGTATGCAAGTGAATTCTGAGTGAGAGTGCCCCAAACGTCAAAATCATCTATTCTATATAGTTTACTTGTCCCCCCAAACTACCTGTACGCGCCTTGAGGCGCCTAATCAGGATCACGAAAGTTTTTCATTTAATTCAATTTTATGAGCGGAGCAGCGTTGATCATGATTCATCCAAATTAGCCACTTACAATTGACCCCGTCCTCTTTGTGCAATGACTGCGTTAATATGGGGATCTCGGCAGAGATGATGTTCACTGAAAATCATACTACTCATACTGGCTGTTATGATAGCTGAAAACCATAGTTGATAATCCAGTTCGCTCGTCTATAAGGAGCCTTGGGACACTGCTGAACATTTAGCAGTATTTATCCCATTCTGAAACTGTCGCAGTGCGTTTCGGTCTTCGATCCGTGTCGGGCAGGTTTATCTTCTCACGTACAGCTCGACTCCGTCTCTGCATTCTTGCGGGTGGAGAGACTAGAAGGCGAACGTGTTCCTCGTATTTAATAGCTGCAAAGCTCAAGCCTGTAGTGATTCTAGATACCCTGCCAACAGGCGAATCATGTTAGCTTAGTAGTCGTATCATCCAAATTACGGTCCTGCCATCCACACAATCTAGGCTTTTACATGGCTGTGCGCAGCGAAAACATCAAGAGTTCTATCGAGATCCACCCAAGGGCGGCTCTCGAAGCCACTGGATTCGGAGAGAACAGAGGCCAGTTGAATGTGCAGAATGTGCAGAATTGAAAATATTGGCTTATGATTTTGTTGCCTAATGTTTGCATCAAGAGCTAAATACAAAAAATAATCATCCAGCGGGTGTCATGATATCGCCGAAAAGGTGGACTGTTTGAAAGTTATTAGATCAATTTTTCCCCGCTCCATCCCATACATTCATCCAGTGACTGTCTTTCACAAAAGAAACTCGTGGGCTAGAAATTAGGCGTAATTGGTGAAGTTTAAAGGTTAGTTTATCCAAAGTGGCTTCTCGAGATGCCACCTAAGACGACCTAAGCAGTCTGGTGTGCTTTTCCAATTGAACTGGATCTGCTCCTTCGACCTCGTGCACTTTGTTACCGTCCTTGTAGAATATAAATGTCGGCATGGCTTCTACGCCCATTTTCTTACCAAGGTCTTGGATCATATCGGTGTCAACCTTCACAAAGTGGATTTCGGGAAATTGGTCCGAGAGTCTACGGCCGATTCATCATGGTTAAGTGTCCTGACTTTGGTATGTGTGAGAGGTAGGCTGAAGGGGTCTTACTGTGAAAAGACAGGCTCCATAACAGTGCAAGGTCCATAGTCCGCAGTGGCTGCGACGATGACCTTGGGATACTCGTCGCACACATCATCGAACTCGCTGACACTGTGAAGAGGCGCCGCCATATTAGTTTGGAGATATCACGGGGGATTTCTCAATCTCCCGAGAATCGAGGCAAGCTTGAACGCACCTAGTGACCTCGTAGACAACCATCTTTTAGCAGTGGATTGGAAAGGCCGGCGGAAGATCTCAAATTGAGAGGATAGTACTGATGATGATTCATCTTCTCTGCTGCCTCGCCGGACCTGGAAACTATAAGAAGTCCAAATAGTGAGGGGAAAAGGGCGTAACGTGACACTCAGAGCTGAATCATGAGCGAGAACCCCATCTCTGTCGTCGCTCCAAATCACCCTAGCAACAGCAGCAGCGAGGCCTCTGAAACGACGAGCCAACACCAACCATATCTTGACCGGCGCTTTAGCAATCTATTTCCCTCGGCGAACACCTATCGCGGGCACACAATCCTAATCAAGCCTATGTGGCTCGGTTCATCTGATAGAACGACTAATGTATAATGGCGTCTCCGCCTGTGGCTAATCGCGCACAACCGTGGTATGGTGAAGGTGACAGCCACTCCCGAACCTGCCCAAACTCCACTTTCTTCTCACCCATGTTAGGGCATGGCGAGGCTCTAGAAACATGGGAGCTTTCCCCAGCATGTACCCGTCATGGAGGCCAAGGTCGGATTCGTATCTCCCTAGAATCCAAAGCGAATGAATTTCGATGACTGGCAGACGCCGAGCTACAGTAGCTGACTCCTAAGTCTTGGCCTCGATTCTTCGAGGTATCACAGCGCTGCCCATCCGAAGCGACGCGACAATTTTCCTGCTGCCTTGTGATGAAACCCTCCGCCTCGCCCCAGCTTCCGAACCCGGAATAACCTATTCCCCCCAATGGGATGCACAATTGGTGAAATGAAACCTTAGATTGCAAACAAACATCTATTACATTTCGCAGGCTGGCTCTAACTTAGCAAAGTTAGCTACAGGGGCTGGTGGATAGTTATCTTCCACAGGACCGTGAGACTGCAACGGTCAAAAAGAGCCATCAAGAGACTCTGTAACCCTATTGGACAAGTGATCCCTTCTACATGGATGCAATTAAAATGAGATGGCCATACCTTGAGCTTGACGAGCCCTAGGATTTCCGACACTCCAAATCGATTGCGTCGGGAGAGAGGTGTTTGTTTCACATTATGTCCGATTAGAATAAGAAACTTTGCAATTTCGCGACTATAACTCTAAGAAATCTTCGCTGCCTGACGCTAGACAGCCAACACGTCCAAAATTGATACCAATCTCACTCTATGCTACACTTTGATGGAAATGCCACTTAACTGACCAGGATTTCAAATATGCTTCATGCCACAAGGTTCTGTTAATGCTTCAGTTCAAAATCTCTCGCCGTTTCTCGAGGGACAGCTCGATTCCCAATTAAATATATCGAGAGGCGTGTTGGGCCTTTTATTAATACAGATGTAGAATAGTTGGTCGTCCGAGACGAACCTGTCTCGTGCCGCAGCACTCCCCTCAAATTCCACCTTCGATGTCGTGTTGTATGGTAGGACTAACGATATGCGGGTCTAGCATGCGTGAGGTACAGTTGTAGCCACTTGCACGGAGCCCAACTATATTTTGAGACAATAGAGGCAAATAGTAAATATTACTTCTGCGCACAACGTTCGACTGTGGAGATCCATAGGCTTGAAACTAGCCTTGTGCTATGTGGAATCCACCACAGACATACACGTTCAGTGTCCTGCGAATATTCAGTTTTGTGAGTAGTTATCTAAGTCAAATCAATCGTCTTCATGACAAGGCGCGTAGCGGCTCTTTCATTGCCCGAGGCTGGTATTAGGTGAACATTTGATTGAATCATCAGACGCTTAAGAAATAAAAGTCAATCACAGAATAGCTTGGAATGCTTATTGGCCATCTTCCCTCTATTTTCAATTTGCTGCACGGTCTTTTAATTTTTTATTGCTGAGTTGGAGTATTCCTACCGTTAAACATTAGTCGCTCATGATCTGATGTAAGCTCCTAAACTACAAGGCTATTTCTTACTCAAAGGTTACCGTCCTCCAACCGTCGAATCGCTCGTATCCCCGCAGCCGGCCTGGGATGCGCTAGTTGTGCAGGTCTGCTTGTTTTTCTTTTTTCCTCAGGGGGCTAAATAGCTGATCAGCTGAGATCGGCGAGCGAAACATCCTCAACCCCGGTCGCTCGAGCGTTCTATTGACGCCCAGTCCTACCATCTCACTAACAGCCTCCTTTGCTCCTTGGGGCTAGCTAGCTAGGATCAGTGACGTTCGCCTTGATATCTCCCGTTGACGCACGTCCAACCACCAAGGGCCCGGGCCATTGTCGCCTCACCGCACGGCTCAGGTACCTAAGGGCGGGTAGCGAGCGAGCGGTCGAGATCAAATTCGCATACCGTGGCGTGGATAGACATGCTTTTTTTCCGCGCCGACCCCTCGGTCGTGGGGGCGCATGGTTGTCTTTCCTCCCCTTGATGAACATATTCTTCCAACATATTACTCAAACAGATGCGCGCAGACAACGCCTTTGGGCGGATTCCTGCTCATGTAAATGAGGATTCCTCTCCCCCCTATCCATTCGGTCCGAACAAGATCCTTCTGCGCCTTGAATCCCATAAATCGAATAGGACAACAAATCATTTCACGAGCAGCGGTTCAATAAAGTTGCCTTCAAGTAAAATGTAGATCAAGAGCTATATGTCCAATCGCCAAATTGTGACCACTTCGCTTGGTTCTCTATTCAAGGACGGGAGCCAACCAGTCTCACCGACCTAGACAACGACCCAAGGTTGTCGACCATCCAAGTTCTTCCTCTCAGGCACTAATTTAGCAGTCAATTATCAAGTGACACGTTGCGCGGACCTTGCCTCTTGGCTCTGTATTCATATATTTGTCACCAGAGCTGACTGGAAGCCTGATCTAAGTTACCAGGCAGCTAACCTAACCCTGGTTTCTGACTGAATACCGCGATTATGGACGGACAGGCTAGCTCTGTAACTTATCAGTGGATCGTTTTCTTTTCTGGGAATTCATGCTCTTGTTACTACCCTGGCAGGTCAAAGAGAGCCTGAGACGTAAATTTGCCGGGGTGTGGTATTCTGCACCTAATGGAATCAAGAATCTGAGCAGTCACTGTCGTGGATGGAATATTTATCGAAATTGTGTGTAGTGACAGCGTTGGTTACAACTCTAAATGTAAGCGGAATAGATGAGATTATTGTAGGAATTTAAGCCCAATCAAGATATCATCTGATAAATAGAGGCTGTGTACGCTCTTAGTGATACCACTACCTTGTGGATCCCACTACATCGTTTAAAAATATTCGGCATAATTGTGCTGATATGAGGAGTACGTAATATTCCTCTTGATCATTCGCAATGGAACAAGGGGATTACAATAAAAGCTTGGAATACTTTTTGTGATTTCTATCGGTAATCCGATAAAAATATTTGTATTCCATGTAGTTTACTTTGGGCGTGAATGCAATAATTCTGGGTTTGTTATCAGCACTCATGAATATAAATTAGAGATCTTATTCGGGTAGAAATATTTTTCAGACCAAACTTGACCTAAGACCACCTTATGTTCGCTGACGTGTATCAGGCATAAAATGATACGTACATTTTGGGGTCCAGTTACCTAGAAAGGTAGGCCACGACTGTTTGCACGCATTATGCTGATGAGCAGCACCAGTCGCTGTGCCAGTAGTTGAATGATTATCGACTTCAGCCTCCGAATTTTCACAGAATTACTGAGTATGTGAAAGGGTGTTGGCGAAAATGTTCTATCGCTGAGATGCCGTTTTGGTTGAATATCGTTCCCTGGATAAGCCTCGGATTGTTTCATTACCTCAAACAGATCCGAGTTATCCTGGCCTGATCTTACTCTAACTGGCCAGAGGCAAGCCGATTTTTGCATCAAGTTCGATTTTATCTAGTAAAATTTGAATCTTTTTCATGAATCTTTATGATTTGCGTCGAGAAATCTGGCGTTTCCTGCTCTCCAATTCTGGCTTTGTTTTTGACCCATATCAAGGCTTACAGCTCTATGCAAACCTAGTTGGGAGGCTCTATGTACTAGGTACGGGTTTAGCCTCTTTTCTATCCGATTTCCGCTCGATAGTTGAGCAGATTCTTCTTCTTCGAATTCATTCAGACAACCTTCTTTAGATCTACGAGCAGATGCACAGCGATAAACAAAGTTAGGTCTTCTTCCTACTGCACCCCATTTAGTATTCTCTGAAAAAGTGCCAGTCTGGTCATGGTTCCATGCCAGAGAATATTGCATTGATTCTCTATCTACAGAGCTGATGCGAAAGTGGTTATCATCGTCAGCAATCCGGATCTCATCGTTAGATTCATGTAAGTCTTGATAGCCTCTATTTAGAGAGAGTGAGGAGTTAGTTGAACGTTGATGTGCCCTTCGTGAATTTCTTCTCGAGCTAGCCCTTCCGCCAGATAGCCACGATCCTTCAGAATCAATGGATGCTAGTGATTGTGATAATGTATTAGATTCTGGAGAGGGGACATCAACCGCTCTGTGCATGCCGTTCAGTATTTCACTTTGTCGATTTATGCTCGACTGAGGCCGGTATATATCCATGGATATCTCATTGCGAGTTTGGAAGCCTTTAACTCGAGCATCGCCTTGTTCAGAGCATCTAGTGATTATAATTGCGTCTTTTAATTCAAGGGATTGTACACGAGAGTCAGGTGGAGATATTGGAAGCTCTGGAAGATCTTCTCGGAATCTTGATACCGTGTGTCGAGGGATACTGGACGTTGATCGCTTGGAGCTACACTCGAACTGATTTGTTGTTTCTATTGGTGCTGATGCTCTAGATGTAGGGAAGAATGTCTTGGGGGATGGCACTCTCTTATTGCGAATGCGAATTTTGAAAAACGAAGTCCAAGATTGTGGCGGTTTAATGCTGAGTTCGGGAGTAGCATCGACCGATTTTTCTGGAAGAATAGGCCCTGTTGATGCTGTAGATTTTCTCTGCGCTAGGATATGACATAGGCTCATTCTTTTAGAATGTTTTTCCGCCCACGAAGATTGCGATGGGATATTCCTTGCTCTACTAGAAGTTCTTATGTTGACTGGCTCACTAATGGCCTTTGACAGTCGGGATGTAGACATTCGGGCTGAATCACCTTGGCTTGTGTTTGTGATTAACCTATCAATTGGAGTTGAACCCCTGTTCAGAGATTCTGGTTTTATCGAAAAGGTTTCTCTGCTATGTCTTTCTCCCACCTTTTGGAACCTGACGAAACTTTTCTGTCGGGGGATAACAGCTTCAGTTGCATGATTAAACTCACCAAGTTTTCCTTTGTCTTTGTCATTTGTCTTACTATATGCTCCATCGCATTGCCTGGTAAGCGGGTCGCTTGTACTTGAATTGTTCCTTTCTTCTGCAAGCCGCCTCTCCGTCTCTATAATTTTTGCTATTTTCTTCTTTTCCTTTCTTTTTTGGTCCCTATCCATGAGTTCACGGAGTTCATGGGCAGTCAGCTGATCTGCCAAATTATCAATCTTACTACCGAATTTCTGGAATTCCTCCGAGTATATATTTGGTCTCCTTTCCGGCTCAACATCGTCTATATTGCTGACAGAGCAGGCTGGTGGAGTTTGTTTAGCAACGTGTTTGATGGTTGGACGAGCCGAAAAGACGTCAAAAGAGGAAAGAACATATGCTGTTGCGCAATCAGATGAATTAGCGCTAACAGGTGTTGGGGAAGAAGTTATTTGAGGCGATGATCCGAAGGTATTTGCAAGCTTTTGCGACGTTGTACTTTTTCTCTTTTTCAACCGACCAGTTGCGCCTGTCTTTGTGAAGGGCGCTTCGGGCGTTGTTGTTGCCCTCACCCTAGTCTCTGTCGCATCTTCTTCTTTTCGTTTTTTGAGTAACTTTGGGTGCGGCGATCCATGAGCGCTACGTTTGTGCAATTTGTATGTACCGGTTCGTTCTGGCATCGACTCTGTTCGTTGATTGATAAGTTAAGCAGAATACGTCGGCATTAGCGACGAATCGCAGTTCTTCGATACGATAGTGAATCAACTTCCAGATCAAGCTTTTGGTGCAGGGAGGCTAATAGAGAGTTGATTAGTTTAAGTAATTTTTTTAGCTGCTATCAAGCTGACCTTTTAGAGTGCTAAGACAATGAAGCGAATTGCTGGTAGTATTTGAAGCGGGAGAAAATTGAGGCTTGACGACCTTTTGCCTGCCGCTCCCTTCAGAACTAATTCGGGGCTCATATGTCGCTAGACAAGGTATACCCTTGTGAACGTCTGGGGTAGTGATACATAGATCGGCAGGTATTTTGTTCATATTTTTTTCCATGATAACCAAAGTCTGTCACAATCCTCTATTTACTTACATTTTTTTACCGCTAATCCCAGCTATCAGTCACCAACTAGCTTACCTCCTGTGATGTGTCAAGCAAGCCGAGATTCCCCAGGTGACTTTGCGTGCCTAGATGCGTCATGTCCGTGAGACGTTTAAAATCGAAGCCCAGTGATGGCCTAGAGGTAGCTTCTTGAGTTGCAGGGGAGGACATCACACAGAGTTAATACAGACTAAGGTAAATCCGGTAGAAATTATGAACGTTTCAAAAACCGTTTGTCCATTAGCGATCGGCGACCAGTAGGAAAACGATGTGCGATGAGCGGACGTGAGAAGAGAGGAATCTCTTGAGCGGTAGTTGCTGTTAATGATTAAATTTCTTGTTACTGACAGATCAATCACTCCTATGCCTCTGGCTCCAAACGATAGGTCAATCCTCTGGAATGCAAAGGTTGAAGATTTTTTCCTGCATCACAACGAAGTGTAAACCCCTGTCTGGTTAGAAGGTTTTCGCTTGATGTTGAATCGCTTCGTTCTAGACTCGTTTCTCCTATGTTTCTCCTATGTGCTGTACCATCTATACGTATTTTATTGGCCAAACATCCTATTTCAATTTCGTCATTCCTCCGTCTTGATAGCAGCGCACCTAAGCTCGTTATAAAGTCTGGTGATCGCAAATAGACTTGGACGGTAAAACAAATCTGAATTTTGTTTACTGCCACATACTACGAAGTTCTTGTGACTAACTATCCTGTGTACTCAGAAGATGTAGCCGAGTTAAAATATTTTTCACTTCCAATTAATGTCTGGAATTTGTGCAAGTGATGGAACGACTGCTCGTCTCGATCCTTGTTGCTCTTTTTCAGGTTAAAACTATACAGGACTTGTTTTTGCATCAGATTTTAATTGAGTATGCAGCTATTCAGCTATGACACAATATCGGAAAAAGTAGAGAAAAGATGCCTCAAAGTACAAGAAGATTACTCATGCCTCGGATTTCATTTGCAAGTACCGCTGCGAAATTATGGTAGCTTTTTCTTCACCACAAGTCAACTCTCATCCGTAAATACCCGCCCAGGGAAACGTCACAAAAACTACGAGTTATCTAGACATGCCTTATGGGCCAACTTTACGGTATAGAAAAATTTGACTGAACTTGGCACTGGGAGAATATTTCACACCCAAGTTCGTAGATGACACCGCATACAGTTGTTAAGTCATGCTTCCCGTATAGGACATGTAGGTGTTCTCTACTCTTAGGCCATTGATACTCTTACCAGTCACATTTCTGCTCTCAGACCATCTACACAAATTACTTCAAACAATACCACCCATCACGAGTCCTCATTTGATCATACACTTTGAGAATCCCTTTGCCCTTCATTCTCTCCCCTCTCTAGCCAGTGAAACGATGGCTACTTACGTTTGGGTAGCATCCGAAGATCTAGCTACCCTTCTGAATCATTCGCAGAGGCCGGCCAGCTGGGCGCTGCAGACTTGGGTATACTTCAGTAAATCCACTCTCTGCCTTTCCAACCTACTTCCAACCTCCTTCCAACCCTTTCCTGAAGGTCGCGTCGAAATGCCAGAAAAGTCTTTATACGAGACAACTGCTGCATGGTAGCTTGGGCCCATTTCTTTGGTGCCGTTTGGGATTCTTGGGATTACGGTAGACTCATCGACAATAGAAATCCTCTTGGCTGATTAACCGAAAGTCTAGTCTTGGCACCGACAAACGCTCCGCAGTCGAGACGCTTCGTTAAAGGTCAGACCAAGCATGCTCATGGCAGATGTCGTCCCTCTTTCGTTCCATGTTCTAGCTTCTTATCATCTCCTCATCATGTGTAGCCCCATTAGAGTATCAATTCCCCATAAGAAAAAAGCCGAGTCATCTATCTCACGACTTATTCTCCTCCTTGCGGGTATAAGTAGCGTCGTCGTTTGACATTGAGAGACGATCGGTGATTGACGAGGAAAGCTCCCGCCTGAAATTGGGGCAGCTCTCTCGTCGGTTGATGAGGTGAGATGGTATGTTGTTGGATTGAGCTAGAGGACTCGTAGGAGATTGGTAGAACCAAAAATGATGGAAAGTAGATGGCCATATACAAGCTTGTGTCTGCTTTCAACTTTGATTTGGGTGCGATACTTCTTGACTATCATGGATATGCAGAGCGTACTGAGCGATTATATTGACGCCTCTGGAAGGTGAAAATTTTGTCGTAGCCAGCACTACCCGTTACTTGAGGTCTTGAAGTTTGAAAGACATTCTGAGGTATTCATTCAGCACCCAAACTTTGCACTTTTTCGAAAACCTTTGAGTTATCGTAGACTTTGATATCAAATTTAGGAAGATACAAATTACTCTGAGAATAGGTATTATAGTAAAGATTCCTTCGGAGCAAAATTATATTCATATATGACACAAATGTATTTTCCCTTTGGAGAGCACTCACGGAGGATGGTCGAATGTTTATTTGGACGAGCATATCTCATAGTGGTATTTGCAAATGGAATCCACAGTGTAGGTGTGTCTGAAGTCAATAATTACCCAACCCGCATAGAAGCTACCGGTCACATGTCACAGCTCTAAAGTTACACGCACATCAAATTAGTTAAAAACATAAATGCACATATATTGGCCAAAACCTATTAATGGAAGTGCATCAGATACTCCCACATATCAATTAGATTTTGCAGCTTTTCTCTGTCCTTCTGCAAAAATAGGATGTAGTCAGTAGGAATAATGAATTTAGAGTCCGATGTTCTGTCATCTGCACAACAGAGTTAAATGGGGACCTTTAGGCTAAAATACTACCTGTAGTTCGAGACCCACTCCAGGTATCTAACCCGTTCTGAATGCAGGAATCTTATCTGATTAAATTCCTGTTTTCTACCGGTGAACCCCTTGCGACTTTACACAGTTCTGGTATCTAAATTACTTTTTCATGCAGCTCGGTAACTTGGTGAGATGACTTCTGACAGGTATTTTTAACCATATTTAGACTTCATTTGGTGTAATAATCTATAGAGACATCCGAAAGGAGAGCCAACTTACATCAGCCGGAATTCCGTAACTGCAAATACTCTTGCTGGTGGGCAGGATTCAACACCTGTTAGCGGTGTCCACTACTAACTTCTAGCTCTCGCTGTAGAGTCTGCATGGTCGAGTTTGAGTCTCTATTATTCAGCTTTGAGCTACAATATCTCTCCCTCCTTCAAAGTTACGCTTTTAATAATCCTACGACGATAATGGCACTAGGAGTAAGGACCGATATTGCGATAACCAACGCTTCAATGGTAATTAGATAAGACCTCGTTGTATCCTAACGTATGCTACTCACTAGCAGGGAAACTAAGCCCCACGGAAGCAAATTAAAAGACCCTTCTGCCCTCAAGAAATGAAGAATCGGATTCATTAGCGATATCGTCTCTTCACATCTTAAATTCTAAAAAAGTTTATCAGGAGCTCACCGAAACTACACGATTTACTCGATAGATCCATATCCGTCATTAATTTTAGATGCTAGACTAGGCTCTTTTGCTTCAGTCGATCTTGAGAAAGGCTAACCCTACAACATTCCACTACCTCTGGTCTATCCCATAGGACGAATCAGGTGAGGAGCGGTAGGGGCTAGGAATGAAGAGAGATGCTGTTAGGTATACATAGATCTGCCAAGTCTAGCTGACCAGTCTTCTAGTGCGCTTTAGAAGGCTAGCTATGTCTTCGGATTAAGCTCTGATATTGTTGACAGGACGGCTCGGCATCTAGTAAATTTCGAGTTTTTCCCTGCAGTTACACAAGTGCAAATGGCCATCGTCTCGTTGGCTACATAGGGGATATTATGGCGGGATAACGGATTCTCTATGTATGTATCCAAATAAAGGTTTATGGGGGATTACCGCCTAAAAGAGGCCGTCCGGGAGGCAGAGGAAGGGTTATACTACCCGAGGCAGAGATAATCCCGGCCAATAGGCAAAAGAGATCATTGTCCCTTGTATGCTCATACACCCAAAAGTATTGTAAACCGTCAAAATTTTGCCCGTCTTCGCCTATCCCTGCCAATACTAACGTGCTGTCACTGTCGTTACCAGTAGCGAATGGGTAAGGGAACAGTGGATGTATGATAGGTGTCACAGTCACATTAAATACCGACAGCCAATATGCTAGGGTGTAAAGTGCAGGGACAGACTCAAGTGAGGTATATTAAAAGATACTTGAATCCTCGAGGAAGAACATATTGACGTACTACTTGTGACTGAGAGAATTTAAATTAGATTTTAAGAGAATACCAAGAGGTGTTGAACATACTTATGAGAAACTGCTATACCCGGCTGTAGGTAACAGATAAAAAGCATGCTTCTAAAATCCTTTCTTACCTCTCAGACGCACCACAATAAATGATAGTACCTTACCATTACTCATCATATGTGGGACCGAAGAATGATTTAGAATTAGCCGATCATAAACAACAATTTAGCATTGTGGGGTGTCAGAAAAGCCACAGGCGCTGACATGGTTGAATGGTGCAGTGGTACATCTTCCGTGCCGGTCTTCTAACTAGATTTGTATAGCTTGAACATTTTTCCCACTTGAGACAGGAAACCGCTGCATCGTAACCGGTGAGCACAA